AAAAAACACCAGACAGCGCAGTGAGCCCCAAAAAAAGAAGGAACAAAGAGATAGAGGAAAACTTCAGCAACCGGTTAGATGCAAGAGGAATGACAAGAAAAGAAGTTAAAGCAATACAACACCGTAGTGGACTACATACAAGAGCTAAAGCTAAATCTAGTCTGATGATAAACAGGGTTGTGTCAATCCTCTCCCCAATTGACTGCCTTGCTGCAGTCTTCCACCTAACCCCTCACTAGCCTGTAATATCACACAATCAATACATGCTAGGAAAATTTATGCAAAATATGTGTTGTTTGAGTTGCAATATTCAAAGAGACATTTCCACTGACCAGGCTGTTCAGTGAAGTGAAAAGCCGCACAAAAATATGTTTATGAAATGTAAACACAGAAATTTGACATTGGAGCAGGAACAACGAAAGTGAAATAAAAAGATGTAAAGAAATAGATCATTCATAGGATAGTACTGTAATTACACAAAAAATGATCTGTTATTGGAAATGAATGGGAAAAAAGAAACCATGGTGCTGAACTTGAGTGAGGGATTCTTACAATTTGGAAGCCTGGATTATTTTCCGAGAGGATCAACTTGAAGCGTTACATTCTACAATACAATTTGCCAAGAATTGAAGGCCATCCTGAATTTTGGCCATTCCGATGGGCTTCAGTTAAACTTCGCATCACGCTCGAACTTCGGCTCTTCACTTTAAAGCTTCATGAAACGAGCTGGTTGCTTTTCATAAAGATTATTCTGAGGAACACACGAGACAGTTAGCATTTTTTTTCCTTCGTGTTTGGAAACCATGTCGAGTTTACTTACTTTAGGGGCAACTGCACCTTGATCTTTCTCGTAGCTGAAGCAGTAGGAACGTCTGGAGTGTTCACGTCGATTGTCCACCGGACTGAAACTTCATCCTTGTCAGAGAATTTCATTTTTAAAACAGCAAGGTCCTTCATGATTCTATTTCGCATTCCGGCTGATTTGGATCCACGGTTTTTGAAATTAGTCTTCTGCGAAGCAAAGAGAAAACCGGACCCATTTGATATCCCCCTGTTGAAGTGTTGTTTTCGAGCTCCAGGTTCAGTTGTTTTTGCAGTACTTTGCTGTTTGAAATACGCGTGGATTAAATCAGAGCGGTCAGGTGCCTATCCAATAATTCTATCTCCATCGTGGCAGGCAAAAACCAAAAGAAGTAACAAATAAATTACTAACCAAGCAATCGTTTTGGTCAGAGGCACTGACAACCTTAGGATGGAGAGCTGCCACAGACGCAAGGAGGAAACATACGATCCAACAGATTTTCACCAACATGACGTCGTGCAAAAAGAATTGAAATAAATGTGGGTTTTTATATTGTTATTCACAGGTAAAAGCTTGTAAGGAATGTCCACCGAGTCTGTGGGCGGAATGCGAATGGTTAAAAGAGGCTGTTTTAGTAGTTTGTGCAGTCGGATTTGTTTTGGTCGAGGATCTATATATGGTAAATATTACAACCTGGGGATACCTGAGAGATCGAGGCTTATCAAATCGAAATCTTCAATTGCTCTTTCTGAACGAAACAAGAAGCATGTGGGATGTTACTGCAGGGACTTCGTAGCAAAGCAATCGAGGGTGTGTTGGGTGGAGTTTTATCGAGCCCGTGGTTCGACGTGCAGCACTCAAGTCAAGACAATGTATCACCATGGGTTCAGAGGATACGAAGACAAAAAAAATCAATGGAAGTGCCAACGGATTCGCGCTGGGGGTGTTACCACCGCAAGTGCCGCCGCTCAGTGCCGCATAGAAACGAAACGCATTGATCGGAATATCAATGGAGCGGGCCCTAACCCGAAAACTGCTGGCGCCGTATCGCCACCAGTCCCCTCCTGGGGGATGCCGAGGGCGCTTCGGGTCCAGGAGGTTTTGATCTGTTTTAATTCGCTGCCATACATAGGTTTGGCAGCCCCTATGTATTCCTCAAGCTCACTTGCCGGAGGACAGACAATCCAGAATTGCAACTGACAGTACGTGTCCCTCGCAGTCAGAACGCATCACCAGTTTGACCTCCGTAGCATGATAAGAATATCCAAGAACATTACTGACCTTGATGCAGGTTTGGCGAATTTTTATTACATCCTTCCGGAGACTCCCATCGTCCATCGAGTCACGACCCAAGATGCGAACCGCTTGTGATGCCAGGTTGCAAAATTGATT